CGCGGTTGATCTTTTGATTACATCAGCACTGTAGCACGTCTGCTACAGTTTTCCCGCAAGTATCTTAGATTATGTAACTTTAGTTTGTTAGACGGCGTTGCTTGTCTTCTTTCAAGAGACGCAACTTTATGGATCCGGGCTTCTCTCTATGAGGAAATTTCATTCTGAACAATACGCAGGAAGATTTTGAAAGATTTCGGAAATTCGTACAGGTAAGATAATTGCTAACAAAAATGTATACCTACGTGCAGCATTTATTACCGTTTATCACAATAATTGTGTAAAAATTTCGCACCGAGAAAGGAATTCGAGCTAAGCGAAATTATCAGTTTCCATTTCCGGTCTCAAAAACGAATAAATTTCGGCGTCCGCAGAACAAATTATCTTTCTACGCGAATATCTCTGCTCTTCGGTTGAATGTTAGCCTAGACTACCGGAAGTCAGTCTGGACGTTGTCGGCAAACGACTTTAGGAAATGTCTTCTTGCACCGCTGCCCGGAACCAACCCCTGATCGTCAGCCTTTCCTACTCTGATTTATCATACTGTGGTTCTGGGAACGTTTTGCAGCTTTATCAGAATCTCCCTTTTCAATGAAGACTCGCAAAATAAAATTCAAGCTTAATTCTAAATGATTTAATTTCCTTTTAATGTATTTTTAGTTAACATTTTCAGAAGATTAGAGTACTTTACTCGACTAAATTCAAATAGCAAAGCGAACTCATATGGCATCGATTACTTCTCCAACGTTCGTACCTCTTGGAAATCTTAATAAAATTAAAAAATTATGATGTTGATTAGCGTGAGAATTAATTTTTAGAATTTGTATTTTACACAATACTGTCACCCGTATTTGGCTGACGCGGCAGTCAAAGTGTTAACAGAGTTTAATTAAAGCCGTGTTTTCTGAAGCAAGAAAAAGTATTCATTGAATTGCAAAAAACTCCGGGTCAAGAACGATCGATAAGAACAAAAAAAAAAGAATGAGGGCCACGCGTTGCTAAGGTAAAAGTGGAAGATTTCCCCAATAGGTCATCATGCGATTTGATTTAAAACGGGGAGATTTCCCCATTTGGTTGGTTAAATATCAACAGATTTGCTGATTTTGTTTCTCTGAATATTCTTTTTAAATCCAGACTATGTTCTCGAATTTTACATTTTTCTGCAACTCATTTTATGCACTACAACTAAAACCTGACTTCAAAATTCGTGTGACTGGGAACGAGGTTTAATTTTACAAAATTCTTCTTCCATTGCATTTTACTTCGTAAACATTAAAAATTCACGGTCTAACAGCATACACATTTCAAAAACCAGCGTTCCATCTCAACAACACATGCTAAATCATTTCAAATTAATAAAAGACGGAGTCTTGTAAAAAGCCTTATAACTTTACTCAATGTAAAACTTACAGAAAACTGAAACTCTTGTTACACCTTACACGTTTAAACTTAACATACTGTATATAGAACATTACAATAACAACGGTCCTAACGAAGCTTCGCAAAGCATCGATCCATCCATCCAACGTTGATGTAATGGAACTTGCGTACCAAAAGGAACGTCTTCACAAAGCTCGGCCGTGTCTCTTTCGGTACGTGGTTCCATCTGCAGCCATCTCGTTTCGCAACCATAAATATTCCACCTCGTGCATCAATGCTTTGAAAAGAACTTCCAAGGGAACGCAACAATTCGTACAAGCAAAACATCACCCATTCTTCCGGAGCCGAAAACGTTGCATTAATCCACGGAAGCTTCCCAATACTCCCGAAAGCCATCCCCGAAACCGCAATTCCGAGATACTCGAATGCAAGAAACAGCAACCGTGTTCTATCCAGGATCCTGGTCGCTCGTAACAACGGAAGAGAGAATCGCGACGGGAAAAATTTAATTTGGATTTCCGGGACGGGGGGGGAGAGGTGGGGAGACCGGTGCGCAACCGTGTTGCACGGTTTAACGAGAAAATGCCGGCGCAACTTGGCGTCTTTCCACCTTGTCCCGCGAACCGGACTCAAGAAACGTAATCCCGACTGCATCGTTTATTAACTAAACCGTGATCCACGTAACCGGACTAACTGCCCAACAATTGGTCCAAATTGCGCGCTCTTAAAACTGCGACTCGGAATTGAATTGAATCGGAAGTCCGAGCGTCGACGGTGCTCGACGAAATTACAAGTAGTTGACGGATTTTACGTGTCTGACAGAAACGAATAGACGAAGTTTCGAAAGATCAAAGGAGCTGAGAAACGTCGATGTTTCGACTTGTTATAATTATCGGAGGAAGAAGAAAACTCTGTCTCTTGCTGTTTGAAGATATTTGATCGGAATCGGAGCTTAACGAACGGCGTCTTTTACAACTGTCGCAAATTTGTAGTATGTAGTTGTGTAATGTAGTGTCGTAAATTAAATGACTGACACATGAAATGTTCATTAGTCTGTAGCATAAATAAATATGTAATAAAACAAAATAAAATGCACTGTAATATTGTGTCAGGCTCGTTACGAAGTTTTCGAACGTAATCTATTAAATCTCGATGTTATGTACTTCTGTTAGATCGAAATCAAATTCGACTCTCCAATGATCAATGTACAGGGTGAACCACGCAACATGATCAGCTTAATTTATTCTTTGATTCGATTGGAAATTTTTTCAGCTAAAATAACATGGTTTAAGGAGGGCTTTAAGATGATTGCACCAAATTTTTTGTCAACATTTTTTTCCAGAGTTATCAAGGTTTTTTTATAGGTAAACCTATAATTTTGTTTAAATTCTGAAAAGACTATATGTTACGATGCTTGCCGAATTCGTCTCTGCATCCCATAAGAAGTGGGTACACAAAAATTGTAGGTTTTGAAGATGATCTTGATAACTCCAGGATAAAAAGGTTGACCAAAAGTTGGCACGATCATCTGAAAGCTCTCCTTAAACAATGTTATTTTAGATCAAAAAATTTCCAATCGAACCACCGCCAGCAGAACAAATTAAGCTGATCACGTTTCATGGTTCACTCTGTATAGGGTGCGTCACCTAACGATTGCACTTTAAATATCTTTACTGTTTTTAAAGGCACGTCAAATATTTTCAGGGAAAAGATGGATGGTTCAATGGTGCTCGCACGATGTCATTAAAATATTTGTGTTCACATTATATTCTTAGTCTCTAAGTTATATAATCTTAATTTATATCTCTGGAAAAGCTAACATGAAAAGAAATAAAATCATACAATTTTAAAAACAACGAAATTATTTGAGGTGCAAACGTTAGGTGACTCGCCCCCTATAAACATTAAAGTAAACGTTAGCATGCAATAAGTGTAGATTTTCTATCTCGGATGAAAATATGGAGGATGTGGCACGTAACAGCCACGATTGTTCAGGTATAGTCCTCACGCGACAAGAAGGCACTTTTGCGTTTACCCCCACTACCGCAGCTAGTAAGAGGGGGAATGTAAACGCATAGGTGCCTTCTTGTCGCGTGAAGACTGTACGTAAGGAATGTCTCCAACGAAAGTTAATCAATATTTATTCGGCTACACATTGAAATATAAACAATTCTAGACACTATTTTTTTTTGTAAGAAATCAAGATCACCTTGACTTTTTTTAACACTAGATCACTGAAGCGAGCCAATTTGACTTATTTACGATAAAATAGATCGTAATATGGCATACGTAAATGAGTCAAATTGACTCGCTCCGGCAATCTAGTGTTAAATTGCACCATGAATTCAGCGACTTACTTTACTATCACCTTCGTTTTGACTTTAAATTCAGAAATTCTGATTTGATAAACAGAGATTGGTTCTTTGAATCAATGGGGACTATCTCTAGACCAAAAGTTACAGTTTTAACGATTAATTACGCTATTGACAAGTTATATTGATACTTTTTCGTATACGTTTTCTTGTGTGCGCGTGGAGGAACAACATTCATTGTACTAACTTATGACAGCCGTTCATTCTACTAAGTCCGTTCTGATATTCAATCTTAGCTTGTCATTACAAAATTAAACAAGTATTCCAACAGTGAAAAGTTTGACATGCTTGATATTGATGCTTATACTCGGTAAATGTGATTGAAATGCACGTAGAGCTTGTGTACGCTGCCAAATATCTAGAGAAGCACCACCTTTGTCCGAATCTGTTTTACGCTTTCGTTAATCAAGTTTAAATTTCTGAAGTCAAGTTCATCCAAAGATCATAGTATAATAGATCGTTGAATTCGTTTTTTACATTAGCATCGATCCTACCAAGTCCAAAATACAGAGTGCCATTTAAAGAAATCAAGCTGGCTTTGATATTTAATCGGAAAAGAATAAGTTTTGGAATTCTTTCGTTGGAAACTTCTTTTTTGTCAGACTGTCGGAAGTAACTGAATAACCTTGGCGACTGTTACGTGTCACACCCTGTATTAGCAACATCGAACTACTAATCAACGTAAGTGTGAAAGAAATCATAGTGCAAGAGAGGAATCATAATTCGGCAAAACGTCAAGGATAACTGTGTCCCATGATCTGGAATAGTGATTCTGGTTACTGTGGGGTGACCAATCACAGTGCCTTTGGTTTGTTTTCGGGCATTGTTAACTGTATATTTATCGAAGAAGACATATTGAATTTTGTATCCAAAACAAAAAATAGAATAAATTTCGAATAGTAAACAAAACGAAGAAATAAACTTCGAAAAAAACAAAACAAAAGAATAAGAAAATATAATATGTTGCAGAAGTTAATGATGCCCGAAAAAAAACCAAAGGCGCAGCAATTGATCGGTCCACGATCCATCTATCCGGCTCCGCTACCCTATTCAGCTCCAATTCCGAAAAATTTTCCGACCGCCCGATAATTCTCTCCACGAGCGTACATCCGGAGGCATTGCCAACAGGAATTGTGCTCATTATCGAAATCGAGGTACCGTGGAAAACGTGCGGACCCGGCGATCGGTTGTCCGGTCCCGATCGGACGAGTCGTGACAGGAACTTCGTGGAATGGTGTCGTCAGACCGTCACATCTTCACGTGAAACTCCGAAATTCGTGGATAAGTTCTGTCTTTTTTCGATTCCATCTCCTTTACGAGATCCTTTACCTCAACGATCGCCCGCTCGACCGAATGCGGCATCGGGGCATTCAACATCGCCGCGAACTGCTTCGAGATGCTCGGATATTTTGGAAGGTCGCATGGATCCCGTTTGACTCTTGTCCTCCGCTCTTCTCCAGCCGACGAATCTTCCTCTGCGGGCTTCTCTGCATCCTCCGAAATCTCCTTCTTCTCGTCGTCGGCGTCATTCTCCTGATGCGTCTCCGATTCGATCGTTTTACGCGATCGCACGCTCTCGCTGATTTTTACCCTGTTTTCAACGAAAAATGGAGACAATGTGGGTTATGTTATGACTAGACTGCGCAAGGCGGCCGAGCAAATAGGCGGACAAAACCCAGTTTCGGCCATTGGCTTGACCGTCTCGTGCCAGCTGATCTCGCGTCACATTGGTCACTCTTTTCGTTAATAACTCGTAAACAAAACCGCGAATTGCATTTGCGCTAAGGAAAAAATTACTTCAAATGACCTCAGGAACCGCTCATTTCCCGATTGCGGCTTTTGGGACATCCTATATGTAAGGAATACATGTAAAAGTGGGATTTTCTGCACGCGTCTAACAACGATGATCGCGTCTGTGCGACGCAATGCGTCCCGATGCGCCAATAAAAAGAAATATTCGATACCCATCGACGCAACATCGCTTATGGAAAACCAGAACAATAATTTCCATTATTTTAGTGCTAATGGGTCAGAAGCGCAAACGCTCGCGTCTGACGCGTGCAAGAAATTCTACCTGAACAGAGAATTATGGATCATTATTAGCAGCGTTCAGAATTTTGCACTCCAAGATCGGTAATTTCCAATTGATTAATCTCTAATATATTAATAATTAATCTCTAGTAAGTAACTTTTTTCACATTCTCACCGGCTTTCCTCTTTCGCGATCTCGTCCCTAGGCGTACTCTTGGAGACTTTTCTGAAAGGTGACTCTCTGAGCTCCCTCCTGGCTCTCTTCGCCTCCTGGACCAGCTCCGTAGGCAAGTTCGTCATTTTCCAGCGAATTAATGCTTGCATGGCCTTCTTCTTGCGAGTAGACTTCATCGACGTTGATATCGAGGCTTCGTCCAACTTTGCGGAGATCGAGTCTGAAAGCCTCGCCTTCGGCTTCGTCTGCTGCTCCTTCTTCTTCCTCGGCCCTCTTTTATCTCTGAAGCAACAGACTTGTGGTTTGCATACTTCTTTCTTGCAGGGTACCGGCAGCCGGAATTTGACCATTTGTTTCTTCGTTTTCTTTTCTCGACGGTCTATCTTCGCGGAGACCAGGGAGTCTACTTGTTCCACCTTCTGCAGAGAGGGCGCTGGTATGCTTGAACTTCTTTTTCGTGCTGATGATTTTGTACGAGTTGATCGTTTCCGTTTGTGGATCGGTCCAACGGATGCCCTTGCCGCGCCCTTCTTCGCGCTATGGTCTTCGTGCTGTGGCTTCGGTTTGCGATCCGGTTTCTTCCCTATTAATGTCGGGCCCGTTGGACGCAGTTCCGGTTCACTCACGTTCGCGTACCGCAGCAGTTCCTTTGATAATCGTAAATCGTTTAATACTATTTCTACCGGTCTTTTGTATACGCCTATTTTTACCGGTTATTTTTATAATGTTTATAGGAGAAGTTGGACAATCGATTAAACTAAAATCTGGCTGAACTCTTAGGAAACAATTAAAAAATAAAATTTCATAAGATCTTTTGATCTCTTCGGTAAAAATAATGTCAAATTAAAACCTTTAAAGGGGTCCTTCGACCCCTTCGGTTAAAATATTGTTAAAATTATTATGATGGCAGCGCTGATAACGTAAATGTGTCACTTACGGTGAACCTACTGAATTATTTTTAAACTTTATTTTAATTATATTTAATAATATACATTAATATATATTTAATATTAATTATAGTAATAATATTAATAATATTAATATATTAATAATATATTTAATAATGTATATTATATGATTTATATTAATTATTTTTAAACGGCTTTAAAAGTTGAAACTTTTTTTCAACAAAATACATTTTTTGGGTTATTTATTATGACTAACAACATAATTTATTTACAGTCCTAAAATGTGAGAAGCAGCGTTTGAAAATAGTATTCGGTATAGTCTACAGTGTTATATAGGGTGTCGCAAATGTCACTTAGAATCGGGACATGAGAAGTTCCGAAGCTCAGTTCCGCTCATTGGCTCGGCTACCTCTCGTCAGCTGTTCTCGCCTCTCATTGATCACTATGTTTCGTTAATAACTCGTAAATAAAGCCACGGATTGCATTTGCGATAACGATTGCATTTTCCTCTGGACCTCCAAATTTCCCGAATGCGAGTGACTTTTGGGACACCCTATAGACTGTACAATCTACAGTATATATTTGGAGCACGGTAGATGTGCCTCGGTGACTTATTATGTCTTCATGATCAGGTCACAGTAACTAACTGTTACTTATATTCCACTTATATTTCATGGGGTAGATTAATATTTTAAATTAATTTCAATATTTTAATTTAATAAAAATGTTAAATAACTAGGAGAACGACCTAAAAGCATAAAGAAATGTAAAAGAAGTTAAAGTGATTGCTTTAATTAACAAAACTTGCAAAAGGTTAGTTTAAGGGCACAATAATCGGAGACTTCAAGGGTAGTGGAGCCGGTTACTGTGGGGCGACCAATTGTTGTGGCTTCGGTTTGTTTTCGGGCACGATTAACTTTCTATTTGTCGAATAAGGTATATTAAACTTTTTTATATTTTTATCCTGTTTATTTTTTAATAAAACAATATAATATGACTTATTCGATAATTATAAAGTTAATTATGCCGAAAACAAACCGAAGGTACAGCAATTGATCGCACCATAGTAACGAGCTCCACTATCTTACCCTAGACTGTTTTATGCAAACTTTAACTTTTGTACCGAATTTTTTGGAATTTTAAACATTCTTATAATTCGTTTAACTTTAACAACGTAAAAAAAAGTTTCAGACAAAAGCTTCAAGGAGCACTTAATACGGTGACAACTTATTTTTTTTAATGAACTGGTATACTTTTTATACCAGAATCTGACTCTACGTAAAAAAAGGAGCAACATTTGTCTAAAGCACATTTTTATAGGAGTATTAGTTTGTAAGATATCGAGGGATGCAGATATAAAATCGTCGATGTTTGATAATGTTTTTGGTTTTCTTTGTTCTTTTGGCTCTGTTAATGAAGATGTTCAAGTTTTAATCTGTATCTGGGTTAGGTATATATTTTACCAGTATATATTTTACTATATTTACTATATTTTACTATATTTTACTATATTACTATATTTTACTGCAGTTATAAGAAAATGCAATTTATAAGAAGATCAGATCATATAAAGTATAGATGACTATTTAGTTGATTAATTGATGTCTATTGAAAAATTCTAAGGGAAGTGGGCATAGAGCGGAAAGAATAATAATTTATTGAAAAGAACCGGTATAACCTGTTGCCTGGAGAATTAACACGTCCAGATTAAAATATAAGTTTTGATGTAATTAGTATTTATGAGATACGGGACGCGTTAAAAAGAGTAATCGCTGTGATAAATTCTACCCTTTCGGGTTGAGTTTCATTAAATAAATTGCTCCAATTATGTGGCATATTCTGATTCGACAAAGGACGTGTAAAATACCATTTATCAATTAGCATTCCACCTTTTCGTTTGGACACTGTTACACAAAATTGTTGAAATTCAGCGAATGATTTTATCACGATTCCGCTGATATTTCCATTTCTGCTATATATAATTCCTTTATTTCATTATTCGATATAATAATTAAGAAACTAAAATACGTGAGATTTCAACCATTGAATCACGAAAAGAAGATTCTAATATTAGAATGATTCTAGCTAAAGTAAAAATCTAGAACATTTGAGCTCATCTTTAAAAACACAGAGAAAGTATAAAATCTGTATCGGTCGAACAATTTCGAAAATACTAGATTTTTATGAGACTGTCCATTTTCTCAAGTTGTTTTAAAAATCTAAATTAGTAGAAAAATTAATTTCGCCGACAGGGAATGTAGAATGTATGGTGAAAGTAAAGTACAAATACTATTCATTTTAATAATTTTGAATAAACTGAGGACTCTTATGCAACTGTGCAAGTACTTGGATTATTTTATATAAATCAAAACTAGTAGAACAATTATATTTTGCCTATAAAGAAATTGATCGTGATAAAAATAAAATATGAAGAAATATAAAATATAAGTTCAATAACTCTGAATGAACTGTACAATTACCCGGAATATTTTATAAAAATAAAAGATAGTAACACACTTATATTTTGTCTGATATTGTGGCAGAATGACAATATAGATGTTACTATTAATACTGACTAAAATAGATTCATAAGTATCTTACTGATATCCATGTGAAACAAACATATGGAACAATGTAACCTGATTCTATTCTATTATGTCGTCCTATATACTGGGTGTCCGATTTTAATATACAAATGAAAATAACACGGTAATTACACATTACACAAAAGATGATTCCCACAGAAATTAAGTAGTTTCGCGGGGGACAGATGACATAATCCACTTTTCTGTAAGTGGACGCGTACAGGCCAAATAAAGGTTAACTTTGTTCTTTTTTTTAAACAGAATCATATCATTTTGAATATACTAATCGATTCAGTTCATCATTTTAAACAAGAAAATATTAAAGCACACATGGAACAAAATTATTAGATTAAGAGATATTTAAGTGCAAATATTGCAAGGCCGTATCAACATCCTTATCTACATCTTACAAATCGGCAAATGACTTGAAGCGTTAAGTAGCAATCGATCAAAGTACGACTACCACTTTGCAATACTTGCACACAAATATCTCGTAAAATAATAATTTTTTGCCATGCTTCTATAAGTCGATAAGTGTATACAAAATTATATGATTCCGTTTAAACAAAAACAAAGTTGACCTTCGTTTGCCCTGTACGCGTCCACTTAATGAAAAATAAATTATATCCTCTCGTAGTCCCCTCATAATCCTTTAATTTCTGTGAGAAACATAGTGTACAATTAACGAGTTATTTTTTGTATAGATTAAGCTCGGACACCGTGTGTAATGCGGTGGTGTTTCTTTTCTACCGTCGAGGAAAAAGCACGTTACTTCTGGGACGATCTAATACATTGAATCCCCATGAATTTTAATCGTGATACAAGATTGAATCGTATCTGTACCTGTCCTACGAGTTCGAAGTATTTATTTTCCGCCTCCGTGAGCTGCGCCGTGGTCATGAAGTTTTTAAGTTTTCTCTTCAATTCTTTGCCCTGTTTCGAGTCCCTGTCTTTCTCCCTATCTTTCTTCGATTCTGCGTGATGTTCTTTATCATCCTTCTTCGATTTCTTCTTCTCCTTGACCTTGAGAGCAGAGGCAGCAGTATGCAAGGCCACTTCCTCTTCCTCCTCGGCCGTAAGTTTCTGCATTAATTTGATCTCCCTCAGCCGTACGTCCACGGCTTTCGTTAATTTCGTGCATCTTTCTAGGTACTGCAACAAGAACCGAGACAATATTTTCGGAGAATTTGCTGCTTACCGAGAAAACAACTAGTGTTTGTCGGATTTCGGACGTTCACGCGAACTCGCAATTCGATCGATGTTTCGTTTCAACGAAGATCGTTTGTCTAATTTTCAGTCAATGAAAAAGAACGCGGAATTTCTGTGTGCCACAGAGTCGACTGAATGCAGAGTGTCATATTTAAGTTGAGATTGTAGAAAAATCTCGCAGATACGTGATGTAAAAAGAACGAACTAACACATGTGCTTTAGTATTTTGAGTGAGACATCAAATGACACTACTGGTTTTTTAATGCGTGGACATTAATCAAGATTATTTCAAGGTCATCTTCTTTTTTTTATGATAAATCTATACTTTTTACTTCGGAATCGTGTTCTACTTAAAAAAATGCACAATTTTTGTTTGGAACATTTTTGGTAAGTTCAATATTTTTTAAGATATTTAGCTGATTTTTCATGTTTATGTCAAGGAAAATTTTGTTTTTCTGTTAAAGTAACAACAGTACTTTCTTTTGGAATTCATTTAAAATCATCATATTACAAAAAAATGTTTCAAACAAAAGTTGTGCATATTTTTAGTACATAGAATATGATTCTAAAATATTAGATATAGATTTATGATAAAAAAAGAAAGATAACCTTGAAATAACCTTGAAAACACCCGCGCATTAAAAAGCTAGTAGTGCAGTTTGATTTTTCACTCGGAAATAGTATAGGACATGTGTCAGTTCGTTTTTTTTTAAATCACGTGTCTACGAGATTTTTTACAATCTCATCTTAAATGGGACATCTTGTATAGTTCCCTAATTATCCAGACGAAGGATTAATCGTATTTTGAGGGATTTGTTCAGGAATTTTTTAAGGATTAATCGTTTTTAATTTCGTTTGAATTTTATTGCGCCGAAAGTAATTAATTCGTTAACTGGAACGAGTACTACAGCGTCTCTTCCAATTTAGTTTCTTAAGTAGAATCTAACAATCGTTTAGAATGAAAAAAATCATTTGTAAAATATTATTGCAGTATTCGGATGAATATTTCAACTTGACAACACTTGAAATTGTTTTACACTTATAATCGCAGTTTTGCTACGAATTTGTGGGTAAGAAATTGAAATAGAATTTAATCCTTGACAATACGTTTCACAATTTTTAATTCCTGAACCGTATACTCGTGAATGACCACACAGTTCCGTTTTATTTCTAATTTATGAAAAGCATTACCCAGGTTCCATTTAATTCCAATTTCTGTAACGATAAATTCTCGTTGCATTTCTAGGGCGCAGTAATAAAAGGTAAATGTTTATTGTTAAATTTCCCGTGGAATCACTGATTCACCGTAGCGGTCCTGATTAAACGACGCCACGGCCGATTAAACCTTCGCAGTCCGGCAATCATTAACGGGTTTTAAACACGCGGTGAATTATTTATTTCGGTGGACTGCAGTTGCACGGTTCCAGGGAAACTTTTTGTTTTCCACGGTCGCAAGAAAAACTGCTGGTAGAGAGCCGGGCTGCGTCAAAATTTACGGGTGAAAACAGGGGCGGGACGTTAATTTTACGGTCATCTACCTCCGACAGCGCTGCCCTGTCCTTTCGGCAGAAGCGTTGAAGAAATTTCGTCGATTCGACGAGGAACGAGGTCCCGTTGTAGTTGCCGAGGGCGATGAACGTCCCTTCCTCGTACGGCGCTATTGCCGTGATCCTCGAATCGCACAATTGCAACCTAAAAATTGGCTTCCCGAGTTTCTGAAGAAGGTCCAAGGCGATCAGAGTTCCGGCGTCCGTCGCCACGTAAAAAACCGAGTTTCTTATCTTGTCCCAGCATCCGGTTGTTGGATTATCTTTCAAGTACCTGGTCGAACCAGTTTTCAAGAAACTATCGTGTTATCAATTATTTCCTTACAGCTATTCAACAGTTCGAAAAAGATGTAGATACTGCGACGGATTAAAGTATTCGTACACCTTTTAAAACGTAATAATTTTTTTAAGTCTGGACTGAATGAGTTGATTTGTTTTTTAAATGTTAGTGCGACTTGGTTACTGTACCGTAAGGATTTTAGGAAATTCTATGAGGCTTCGTGGTAAAATGAAACAACATACATAACTTAAATAGCAGTAACAATAACAGTTTATTAACAAAAATATCAACCAGTTTATATGAAGCAACAACTTTGTATGAATAAGAGCAACGACGACAACAATAACAACGACTTGGTCGACGTACGATTTTACTCGCTCACAGCTCTGCTCTCAATGCCTCAATTTTTCTATTTGACTCTTTCATTCTTATCAATATTTCCTTCGTTACTTCCTTCTCTTTCCTTCATTATCTTACCATTCTCTCTCTCCCTCTCTCTCTCTCTCTCTCTCTCTCTCTCCCTCTCTCTTGCATACACTCTGTCTCATATTTACTCATTTTCTCTGTCTGTCTGTCTGTCTCTCTCTCTCTCTCTCTCTCTCTCACTCACTCACTCACTCACTCACTCACTCACTCACTCACTCATGCTCTCTTTCGGCTACGCAGGACTTCGAGGGCCCTAAGCAATAAACTCAGATCACTCGAAGCTGCCCAAACACTCTGCAACCATCAGTCCCATTCAATCAGTATTTTACGATACTCACTCTTGATCGTTCTGCCTTTTATACCCGCAAAAACCCTACAGTACAATAACTGAAACATTTTTTTTAAATTCTGCTATTACTTGAAATGACAAAAAAAAAAATAAAATACTCCAGTTTTTAAACTCTTTCATCGGAACCTGTATAACGAAAATTTAAAACGTGCGTTTCGTATTTAGGTTGACGGGTTTGTGTGGAATAACGTGTAGTCGGATTGTCGCGGTAACGAATATTTTGTTATAAAATAAATAACAAAAATAAACGTAACAAAAAACAATCAACACGGTAACAAAATATATAACAAGAACGGAAAAATAACGGAAAACAGCCATGTAGCACGGGCCAACTCGAACGGTTCGTAAAGACAAAAGGACATTACTGTACGGATGTACATAAACCTACGGTAAAACGCTTTCTGGCGCTTGTTTTTTTTCGACGGCGTCCAGTCGTCTGCGTCCTAAACAGAAGACGCGCAAACTCAGTGCTGTTGCTACTGGAGACCCTAGGATCCTTCACACGTGGATCTCGGTAACTTAAATGCAAAAACGAACATTTTATCAAAACGCATTTTTTCAATTTTCGTTCCAGGTTCACATGAAAAAGTTAAAAAACGAATTTTTTTTCATTTCTTTTTGCCATTCCAGGTAATATAAAAATTAAAAAAAGAACAAGTATTGCAGTCTTTGTACAGTAAACTAATTACTAAAAAATTCAAGTTATTTGGATCAATTTGATAAAACTTCTTGTGTTTTTTAAAAGATGTACGAATACAGATTGGAAGATACCTAACAATCTGAAAAGAGATTTTTAGACATTTTTTTGGATGCTGTTAGTGAATCATTTTTTGAAATGAGTAGCTCGTTTGAAAGTGCATAAATTTTTGAGCTTGTAGTAATTTTCTGTAGTAGAATGTTAACAAATGCCTGAGTGACAGGCAAGGCCAGTAACAAAAGATTTACTATTTTTGAAGTTACCAATTCACTCGATTCAGTTTGTTAATACATAGTAGCAGAAGTAAGTGAGAAATTAAAAGTATAACTATATTTACTTAAATTTCATTAGAAATTTTGCAAATTGCATTGCAAAGTACTAATTATGCAGTAAATATTAACATTGCAGCTAATAGTTGTATTGTAACTTTGAAACTTTCTTAAAACTGGTCTAAACGACTTGAATTTTTTGGAAATATTGGAGGCACCAATTCACTCTACAATGACTAAAATACTTTTTTTTAAGTTCGCTATTAGTTGAAATTAAACAAAAATGTAAAAATCTCTCATTTTTTCACTTTTTTATCTGGGCCTATAATGAAAATTTAAAAAATGCATTTGGTACTTCTCAGTAACTTATATATGTATATATGCTGAATATTTCATCGAAATCGGTTGACCTTGACGTGTGCTGCAAATGATTAAAGATCACGAAAATCGCAGTCTTTCATGAATTTCAACCAAAATCTAGTAATTTTTACGTGTTTCAATGACTATAGCTTGACTATGCGTCAACCGATTTCAATGAAATTTTCAGCATGTACATAAGTTATCGAAATCTACAAAACCTAGTTCTTAGATTTTCATTACAGGCTCAGATAAAAAAATGAAAAACGAGAGCTTTTTTGCATTTTCTTTTTATTCCAAGTAATAGCAAAATTTAAAAAACAAGTATTTTAGTCACTGTAGAGTGAATTAGTCCCTCTAACACTGACAAAATAATTCAAGTCATTTAGACCAGTTTTAAGAAAGTTACACCTCCTCACTGTACATTATGTACTCGTACAAAAATAGTACTTGACAAAATAGCAAGATTATCTTCGAAAGTATGATCCGAAATATTTCACGACAGATTGTCTCAAAAGAAGCGATCCAAATTAAATAAAATTTGGTGTTAGATCGAGCAGACAGTCAATTTAACTATATAATCCGAGCGAATCAGGTCCAGGAGGTCCAACACCGAAATCCGAAATTAATTCGAAAGATTACAATCCGGCATTCGTGTGATTCGCCGAAGATCAACAGCAGGTAAAAGATAGAGTACACAGGGATTTAGATTGCCGATTGCCGATTGACGAGGCCAACCAAATATGACCCTTTCAAACAACAGTATGGTTTGTTCGCAGCCTATCCACTCCAGCCGATGATGCGCCAGACTTTCTCTAAATATTTGCATCAGACACTCGATTGCTAATAACCAATATTGTGATTCGAAAGAACAATGTGGGTCAGTTTCAGCCTCAACCTATCGGTTAGGGATGCCCGACCAGATTTCCTCTAAATATTTAACTCTACTAGGCAACCGCTGACAACCAATATGACAGTTTGGAAAGAATATAGGTCACCGGACCCACCCTATCAGCCGAGAGTCGCCGAAAATTCCCTCTGGATATATGGGTCATTTTCGTTTGAGTTCATTCAACTTTTCATTTTGGCCAGCTTTATCTTTGCCTGCAAAGCGGCGCACCATCGGGCAATCGCACGTCAAACACGGTAAAACGTCATTTTATAAAAAGATGTCTATAGTAAAGGAAATTTGTATAAATAGTTGCATATGGTCGATATTGTATTATGTCTATTCTTCATATTTGTCTGTTTTCAACAGGACTACATGACTTTGAAGTACCAATCTCAAAATCACCTAAAATTAAAATTATCGATTATAAGCACTTTGTTGATAGAAATACGATTACCTAGTGTATACACTCTCTTCCAAAAGTATTAGGGCATTCATAGAAAATTAAATAAATTTGAGAAACCGATGGGAAATTATTATAATTTCTTCGATTTAATTCAAAGTTGATTGTATTAAACTGTAACAAGTATATATACATATATCTATATATTATTTATATTATATCTATTATTATATTATTATATCTATATATTATTTATATTATATCTGTATATTATTTATAAAAAAAATAAATTTTCTTCTCTCGACGATATATCGACCGCGTTTTATAATTACTTTTTGGACTAACTTCGGCATCCCTTTTATCAGTTCGTTTATTATTTCTAATCCTGTATAGTTCCACCCATGTTGGTAGTATGTTCCACATAATTCGGAAACATATCGTACGAAATGAATTCAGCATATACATATGTTGTCAATGAACAAAATGCAATAAACGAGTAAACTAATTGCATCAGTAACAGACACTTCTAACTTAATATGTATTTTCGACAATACAATGCCATAAAATGTAATATTAGACATAAAACATTACGCAAACTGAATAAAAAATTACTAAATCAGCAGATGTCCTAATAGCTTTGCAGGGAGGTGTACTTAAATTATACCAAATTACGAAATTAAAAGCATGATTCTACGAATTTATTAATTATTTTTTACTGTCTACAAACAGTACCTAATTTTTTGTTAAATTTTAAATATCTTAATGGATTATAAGGGTATTTGAGAAATGAAATGTAAGATTTGATATTTAAAAATAGACTAAAAGTAAAATAACAACATATAAAAATAATAATTGCATAAGTGGTACAGCATCAGGAAAGACTGAAAGATAAATCAGATATATATTTGAATCGTATAAAATAAAGAAATAAGTTAGATACACACGACTTCGAACATAAAATATTTTTTGCCGCGTTTGGCATGCGTTTTCCCCACGGTGCGGCGTTTTTATACCGTGGTCAAGTTTCAACGCTGAATTCTATCCTTTCTGCAAGTTCCTTCACATTTCAGCAAACTTTTAATATTTTAATATAATTAATTCAGCTTTGAAATATTGCTTCTACGCGATTCGGTTAAAGAATTTTCGAAAGAATTGAAAAGTAGGATAGTTTTAAGTACTTAATGTTATTATTTAGGAGTTGAAAATGTTAGTAAGAAGTTAGAAAAAGGTTGTAGTATCAAATCATTTGGTAGTAGTCCAAATCGTTTAATTCGTCTCGTCAATTTCTCGAATTTCTGCTCTGAACATCCTCTAGAATGCGTAACGTACGCAGTTTTTCCACCCTAACATTTTTTAACCTTTTTGTGGGAGTCATGTTCGTTCTATGGAGAGTTTCCCAGAGCCGCGTGTTTAGGACCAAGTAAGGGCCACTTGACGGTCCCCTGGATCGCGTAAACAGGGGTTCCAAGGAACTAGAATCCGGGTCACGTACGCATATCCCCCACCATCAGTTTTAATCGAATTTATACGATTTTGTGGTATAAAAAGGCCACAAATTCGACAATCATTGGAGGCAGCATCTTAGAGTCAATATCCGCGCGTATATTGTGTCATAATTGTAAAATCGTAATATTTTTGGTTCATTTTGACGCTCAGATTGTCCACAAAAACGGACAATTTGGGAAGAGGAGATACGATTATTCGAGCCTTGCGGTTCGTTCTTATAGTTTCGAATTGTCAACAAGTATAAGAACGAGCTGCAGGGTTCGAATAATCGTATCTCCTCTTCCCAAATTGTCCATTTTTGGGCACAATCTGAGTGTCAGTTAGGGAGACATTACTGTATACTATTGTAAGCATCCAGGTCACCTCAAGAACAACGTGCACGGAGATTGGGAAATTAGGCGAGTTCCGTAGATGTGTGACCTAGTCGATCGGTTACAAAACGGAGGACCTGGGCTCGATTGCTCGATCGGTCCCTTGTTTTTCCCCCAAGATCCTACAATATACTGTAGTTAATACTACAGATATATCAAACGATATACTAATATATGTATATCGAGTCTAATTAATTTATCCAGTCACCTCCTCTTCGATTCCAGTAGCTAGCACAACCCATAGAGATACATCTTTAACACTCGAGATATATCTTCATTTCTCGTCTTAAAAAGTTACGAGGCAACCAAACTTTAATCCCTATCCTTCTACTACTAGTGACGCCTCAATGATGAAACAGGCATCGGCCAGTGCACGAATCTCTTACTTCATTTAACCTTTGACAAAATAGTCATCGTCCTAGCGACGTTCCTTTGACGAAACCGACATTGGCTAATTCGCGAACCACCTACCCTACATAACGGCGCTCCTTCGACGAAACAGCCGTCGGCTAGTCCACGACTTTCTCCTAGTGATGCCCCGATGACGAAACAGACTAGCTCACGAATTATTGAAGTTATAGTGGCGCCCCTTTGGCGAACCATGCATTGGCTAGTCCACGATGCCCTAACTTAGTAACTTACCTAAACATCGGCTAGTTCACGAAAACCTATCTTACAACCTAGTTGCGCCCCTTTGAAGAAACAAATCTGCTAGTTCACGTATTATCCTACCTAGTGGCGTCCCTTTGACGAAACAGGCATTGGTGCTAGTCCACGCATTTCCTTACCAAACCATCGGCTCGTAACAAATTTGTTCAAAACATCGATAGAGGCGATACAAAGAAAATACATAAGACGATTACGTGTATTAAAATTACAACCTAGGTAAACTAACATACAGAGTGGAGATTAAGTTCCCTTCTCTAGTGCTTTCATCCCACACCTTCACCGTCCAGTCGCCAATAGATAAGAACACAGAGGGGTTGAACACGTTTCGATCAACAGCAACCACCGGTCCAGTATGGGCTTGGAACTTCGTAGCCAGTTTCTCGACGTTCGTTTTCGCCTTTCTTGAGCCAGTCACTACGATACCATTGTTCATGCCGAACATAAACTTCGTTCCTACCATTGCTCCGAAGTTCAGACTGGAGACACCAATTGCTTTGTGCATGCTGGGCTCGTTCGGTTTCTCCAGGTCGAATATCAGAGTTTCGGTTGGTCGTCGAAGCCGTCGCGTGTCCCACCACATTGCGCAACCGTCTAATGAGGTGGAGAAGAACTCTGCGTTGCTCTTCGATGGCACCCACGTCACTCCGTTCGCGTAAGCCCTTCGACAAGAATCGTTTCGTTAGTTTCAGGTATTTCGATTAGCTAGGTTTTGCTTTCAATTATTTATTTCCATTATTTCTCGGTTCATTTTGTGAAATTGCATTTCTGAAACAGAAAGGTGTAAATCATAGCGTTAATTAGAATTGGTCCTTTTCTCCGTCTCCGCTTTTCAGAAGTATTTTCATCTGTTCTATCGGGCTGAAGGTCTTTGTGCAAAATAAATATTTCGAAGCCTACCTTTTCATGGACAGTTTTACATGTTGAAATAGATTTAAGATCTTCGCGTAAAATAAACATTTTCGAGTGTCCATTATCACAAACATTTTTACGTGTTATTTCAGACTGATGACCTTGAAGCAACATCAAAATTCTCCGCTATCATAGACATTTTTATGTGTTACAATAGATTGAATATCTTTGAAAATATCATGCGATGCATTTTCAATTTTTTCTTTTTATAAACATTCTTATCTGTTGCATCGAGATGAAGATGTTTATGCAAGATAAAAATTTTCGAGACTCCATCATCGCAGACATTTTTATGCGTTATATCAGACTGAAGATCTGTGTGCAAAATAATAATATTAAGTCTCCCTTTTCATTTGTTATGTTAGATTGAAATTCTTACAGCAACATGAAAGTGTCAAGTTTTCATTTTCATAGATATTTTCTTCTGTCAATTTAGGCTGAAGATCTTCGTGCGAAATAAAAGTTTTCAAGTATTCTTTTTTATAGACATTTGAGCCGTTTATTTTGAAAGTGGCATAAGTCACTTTGTTTTTAAGTCGATATATTTAAGGGTTTGCGTTTTAACACGTTTAAAAATATGGATGCTAACTTTCGAGAAGATTTACTTGTATTTGTTATCTCAGGATACTGATATTTTTCTCAGTATAAATAATTTCGTATAAGCATTAAAAAATCACCGCTTTTCATTACGGTAAAGTGACTTGAGCCACTTTCAAAATAAATAGTTTAGAAAAATGACTGACATATATTAATTTTGTCCGACGTATTTTACCGAAGTGATGTTTTGAAAGGACAGTGATTTACTAAAATTGTTGAATAAATTACATATATAATAATAATTTATACCATGAACATATTTAATATAAAGATTTGATTTAAGTATTTTTTATTTTAATATATAATAAATAATTATGTATATAACTATTAAGTATAAGTAATTTATATGAAAATACATCAGTTCAATTTAATTTTCGTCATCAATAGGAGTGATTAAGTCCTCGAAAGTCGTGTTTTGTTTCAAATTTTT